GCCATGAGCAAAGCCAGATGCCATGAGCCATGAGCCAAGCCGGACGCCATGCGCCATGAGCAAAGCCGGACGCCGTGCGCCATGAGCAAAGCTGGATGCCATGCACCATGTAAGCAGAGGCAGCTGGACACCACTGTCCCAAACTGTATGCTGTACGCAACAGACCACCTCCAGCAAGCAGAATGCCTAACAACTGACAAGCTCAGGTATCACCCAGAGAGCTTCTTAAGATGGGAGAGACAGTGCTCCGTGTTTTGTCTTTAAAGGTCCTACCTTACCTCCCCCACCAACCTCATCTGCCAGAGCCTGGATTCTACGCTGGATTGGGTTCCCTGCTTGGCAGCTGACTTTTACACTGGCCTCAAAAAAAAAAAAAAGGTGCCGAATTTCATATTTTTATTAGTAATTGAGGGGAGAGGATAAAACTCACCACAGGAAGTGCAGGCTGTTCCTCAAACATGTGGGCTTGTAAGCTGCTGCTTCTGCTGGAATGATTCTAGCAAAAAACAAATGACAGTAACTTTAGGTTTTGATTGGTCTTTGGGGGGCAGATAAGGTCGTGGGGTGGATAGATGGGGCAAAAGACAGGAAGCTGGCTAAGCTTGCATGTGAAGGCACTCGGCCACGCCAACACCACCCATCTGCTGGTGTCTCCCAACTCCAGCTCAGACTTCTCCTCGAGCTCTAGACGGACCCCTGGACACTTTGTCTGGAATGTCGAACAACTACCCCCTCAACATGCCCGAGAGTGGGTTCAATTTCCCCATCCACACCCGCTCAACCCTCTCCTGTATTCCTCATTTCAACGGGGGACACTTGTACCAGCAGCTGCCCAAATCAGGTATCAGGAAGTCACCTGACTCTTCCCTTCCTCCTGCCTGCCACCCAGTCAACCACCTTTCTTTTTCTTTACTAGCTCCCGAAGACATTCTCCTCCCCAGATGGGTACTGCTTCAGTTCAAATCTTCGTTTGTCACCTTGGTTATTACTGCCACGACATCTAATAGCTTTCCTTGCTTCAAGTCTTATTTCCTTGAATCCATTCTCCATGCTGCACGCTGCAGCTGGAGAGCTTTCTAAAATGCAGATCCAGCCATGTCATTCTCTAGCTCAAAGGCCCTCAGTGATTTCTCACAGTTACTAGGATGAAATTGATAGCAGAGAATACAGTGCTTCATGAGCTTCACGACCGGACTCTCCCGACTTCTCAGCCACTTCCCACCTCACCTACCCCCCGGACACTCTGGACTACCTGTCTCCTTGAGATCTCATGTTCTTTCTTTCTGTGTGCCTTTGTATACATGCTGTTGCCATTACTGGACATACCTTAGTTTTGTTATTTAAAGACATCAATATTTACAATGTGCATATAAATTAAATCAGGACATCTGTCTATAACAAGGAGTCTGAAAACAATCACAAGTCCATCAAGAGGAAACCAAAAACCACACCCACTGCCGTCAAGTCAATTCCAACTCACAGTGATCCTCTAGGACAGAACAGAACTGCCCCATATGGTTTCCAAGCAGCGCCTGGTGGATGTGAACTGCTGACCTTTTGGTTAGCGGCCGTATCACTTAACCACTGTGCCACCAGGGCTCCAAACAAGCATATAATGCCTGGCATGTGGTCAGCCCTTAATAAATATTTTCTGAATGAATGAACGGCAGGGAAGCTTCATCTGCAAATGACCACAGCATCCTCAGAGAATAATCTCTAACTTCCACTGAAAGAGCTCCTTTGATGTTACAGACTAGAGAGCTAGCCACGGAGATGTCACCATGGCCTTGTTGCTGTGATGCTTGTTTCCAAACCCCATTGGCAACAATTTTTACAGTGGTTGCTGGGGTAAGAGTATCATCTATCTCCTTGTTTAGCCAGAGTATACCAGCTCTTGGTCACACGCGTGTGTTAGTGACATCTGTGATGTCAGGGTAAAACCACACTGTAACTGAGAAAGAGAAAAGCAGCCCCTGAAATCTAGTCTCTGGCCAGGCACTCACAACAAGGCCTTGGTGTTCTCCTATCGAACATAAATCCTTTCACAGAACATCAACATGAGTCAAGACCGCTCCGAGACCATGATGGAGCAGGTCGAGAACAAGAGCATTCCATGATCTTGCCTGAACACAGACAGAGCATGAACACTGTCCAAACCACAACGTTCCAAATGTCTCCCCATCGTGCTGAGTGTCAGTGATGCTGCGGCTTTACCAGTGACTGCTGCAGCACAGCTACGGTGAAGAGCTACTGAGACACCCAAAGAGTCGCCTCTGCTTCCGGACAGCATCCACTCCACAGCAAAGCCTTGCGTCCTTAAAGCCTCCTCGAAATCACCTAATAGGAGCCCAGATCCTTTCATGAGTCTTTTCTTACACCCTCTGAGACCCTGTGTTTCCCCACAGTGCGTGTTCCCACTTGCTGAAATGAGTAATAAACCAACGTGCCCATTACAGGTGTGTTCCTGTGGTCGTTGGCTGGAGGACAGTTAGACTCTAACAACCATCTGCATCATCCATGACTCTGCTCCATACTATCTGTGGAGATCTTTGAAAAATATCAATCACAATGCTGTAAAGTCCCAAATTCCCTAAGACATTATTACATGCCATTTAAGACAAAATTTTATGTAAAAGTCACACCTATTGAATGGAATAACATGTATAGTATAAATCCTGAAGCCATAGCAAAATTTGAGAGCATCTTACTGAGCTGGATACTGGCTGGCTGGTGGCTGAATTTCCACAAGTCGCGAGTCTGGCATTCAATTCTTCTGCAAGATGAGTCTGAACATCCAAGTTACTTGATGATGGAAGCGAGGGGAAGGTCGGATTGCTATACATGGCGGCTTCATCTTCTCTTATAATTTCCCAGTTCTAAAACAAGCAGAATAAGCATAAGCCACAAGTACTGTAATCCACTGCAATAACATATGGATGTCAACGAGAACAAACATTTTTTTATACCTCAGAAGACTCTCGGCTGTCGGCACTTTCTGTTTCCTCAGATATCTGCCGCCTGGTGGTAAATTCACGCTGTGCTTGCAGTTGCATGTTACCGCTCTCAGCATCTGTTAGGTTGTCCCTACATTAGAATGTAAAAGGCATCAACCACGTCTCAAGATGGTTAAAAAAAAACAGTCAAAGGTTCTGTGATCATGTTTACAAATGTCTGTATTAGATCAGCACTTACTGTTTTTAGCCAAAGTCTATTTCAACTTATATAGTCAGCACAGTGGAACACTGAGAGTATGTCATAGAGTTAAAGTAAGTTTTTGTGAAAATGATTAACATATCTGACCTTGATATTTTAGTTCATCACTGTGCCTAGAATGCCTGGCACATACAGAGAGTCAAAATGATCTTCATATGAACGAGTAGCACAGAGTTTCATCAATAATTTCGTTATATTATTATTTCACCATGTTACTACAGGAGTAAATCTAAACTAACTCCAGACAGTTCATAAAAGAGAAGCTTTAAGAGTTACATATACATCTGCATGAATCAAACAGTAGTATTTTCTAAAATTGATCTTAAGCCAGGGGTAGAATTCCCTATGTATGGACGCAGAGGGCAGAATGAAAGACCGTGTAAGGACTCTGTAACTAAGTTTAACAGATTAGGGATCAAATGCTTTTTTTTTTAAAATTGCGCTTTAGTTGAAAGTTTACAGAGCAAATTAGTTCCCCATTCGATAGTTTATACACGAATTGTTCCATGACACAGGCTGCCATCCCTGCAATGTGTCAGTACTCTCCCCATTACTGCTCTGAGTTCCCCACTTCCATTCGTCCAGCTTTCCTGCCCCTTCCTGTCTTCTTATCTTTGCTTTTGGGCAGATGTTGCCCTTTTGGTCTCGTGTAGATGACTGTTCTAAGCAGCAGCTTCCTATCTTTTAGGACTGTCTATGATTTGGCTGAAAGGTGATCTCCGGGAATGGCTTCAGTTCCAAGTTAGAAGGGTGTCTAAGGGCCATAGTCTCTGATAAATGGTATCTGGTTTTGATCATATACAGTCATGGGCCTGGTCTGAAAAAGGACGATAATAAAGGCTTATTTGAGTTTAGGAAAATTCAGTAAATCAGACTGAAGACCCTTACCCTGACCATTTATTAGTTATATTAACTTAGCTAGAAGCATCTGCATTTAATATAACCAGACTATCAGATCAAGAATTTTGTTCAAATACTTAATAACAAAATTAATATTAATTTATTTAAAAGCCCATGATGGCCAGAAGACCAGCTCCTGCCGGATGGAAGAAAACACAATTTCGGCAGATGGTTCTAAGGAAATGCGTAAAGTTTTTTCCCCTGAATATTTGATTTTGGCTAGATGAACACATCAGCCATACCTGAGAGAAACGTGATTCTGCTCAAGTCAGGCTTGCCACAATACCGAGGCAATAAAACAACCGTGCAGAACCTTCTAGGGTCTTTGGTTTTGCAATCGATATGTCAGTCTACAGAGACCACTGCTCTGTGCCACCCAGAACCTAGACTGCTGGTTGGCTTGGATAGATCTGAGAACAAAAATACTATCTATTGAGGTGCCAGGCTATGTCAGGCACAAAAAACCACAGCCAAAAATTAGAAAGTTAACAGACAAGTAAGAAAAATTGTAAGTCTGTGTCAAAAAGTAGAAGACTAAAGAAATACTTTATTGGGCTATATGGAAGGAGGGGGAAAGGGGTTTTGATAATAAATACGGAAATGAGAGAATTTGTAAATGTTGGTAAAATTTGAAAATCTGATAAAAAGAGAAAAATGTCACTGAGAAGGCACAAGTTAGAATGTCTTGAAGGTCCCTGATGTGTGCAAGTCAAGAAATATATATGTACACACATATATACATATATATATATATATATATACACACACATATATATGTATTGACCACATTGGCAAATGGGTGTTTAACGTAAGACCTAAGTTACTGAGTCCTTTATATTTTAAAAGTAATTTTTATTTTAAAAATCGTGTACTGTAGAAATGAATATTTTATTATATATTAATAATAAACTACCAAAACACAGTATTTTCTAAATTAGCCTGAAGAGCAAAACGTACCCTTTGTGGCTACATAGTAACTAAAAGCATGTTTATAAGTAATTGACATTTTATTATAAATTAAGAAGCAATTAAAAGGGCAGTGTTTGTGATTCAAATAATTTTGGATATTATCATTTAAAAAAAAAAAAAAAAACTGAGCTAAGGTAGCATTTTTTAAGCCCTATGCCAGGTAAAAATCCTGGTATTCTCTGTCAGAGAATATGGGTCCCTAAACTATTATGAATCCATTTGAGCCATGACTTCAAACTAACAATCAGTTGTCCAAATGTATCCAGGCTACAAACGTGAAAGGCAACAGCACGTACTGAGGGGTCGGCCTCTTCCACTGTGTCCGTCTAGACTCATGGTTGACGTAGTAGGTCCTTCCGAGGACGTCCTGCCTCTCGTCCCATCCCGGAGGCAGAGGAGAAGGTTCCTGTTGCTGCTGCAGTTGGCAAGTGGCCTGTGGTTGGTCCAGAACCACCCAGCCAGGCTGAGAAGCAGAACGCAACAATGCAGAGTTTACGCTTGATGTTTGGCTTATGTTTGTTATAAAATAGATATCACAAAAAATTTGCTGTTTCAACTAGTCTTCACATTAATCACATGCACCATACTGTGTGCTTGATTCTTTAGCCTCATAAATTATGCTAAAGAAACTTAAAACTGAGATGGTTAATGTTAATACCAGTTCTAAAAACCATGCAAAGATGGAATCAGGACATCGTCAACTTTTTAAGACCAAACTAATATTTTCTGATAATGAAGACCTTTTTTTTTTTTTCCTGGCAAAATGATAACCCCTTAAATTCTGCTTGAAACTGTTTTAAAATTTTTCAAAATTTTTTTTACCGTATCTAATAAAAAAAGGACAAAAATTCTTAAGTATACAACCAAGCAACGCTATAAAATTGGAAAGCCCTGGGAAATTGAGAAGCATAGTTTAAACTATTGTAAACTTAGTCTCATCTCTGAGTTATAAGCAACTGAACAAAGGGCAGGGATCATATCTTATGGGTTGGTTGCTAGCTCTCCCACAAAGAAAACACGTTGCATAGGGTGGAAATTCAATAACTACCTGAGACCTGAAAAAAATTATTAGATGAAGGTCAAATATGTAGAGGCATGACAAGGACAGGCAAATGACTTAGAAAGCACTGCTCTAGTGAAGTCCCCAGTGATTGAGAAGTCCTTCTGACTCACTTGTGCGACTGTTCTCCTTCTCTTCGGGACCAAGGAACGCCACTCTAGTAAAGACGTGACACAGCCAAAGGGAAGAAAGCTTTTGTTGTTGTTTTAATATTTTAATGCCACAAAGGCACTGCAAGTTTGGTTCCTCTGAGACCAGCAAGGGGCAAATGTCCATAAAGCCTCAGCTAGAGCAGTGAAAGTAAGGAGTGAACTGAAAATGGAAGCAAGAGCTTATACAAGAAGCCCCAAAACAGGTAAGGCAGTAGGAAGAAGTTCTGCTAAATACTGACATGGTTGGGAAAGCAATGGAAACTCACATAAACTAATGAAGAAAACTTTAAAATTCTCCAAAAGGGAAACAAAAGAAGACTTAAATGAATAGGAAGACATGATATGATCTTGGTCAGGAAGACTGTCACAAAGGTATCAATTCTCTTCAAGTTAACCTATAAATGGGTCAAAATTCTGATAAAACTACAATATGGATTTTCTTAATAAAACAAGACAAGCCAATTCTCAAGTTCAAAGAGAAACACAAGCAAGAATAACTGGTAAAATTTTAAAAAGAAGAATAATGCAGGGAAATTAACTCTTATCAGATAAAACATTAGAAACAACAATAATTACAATAGTGTGGTGCTGGGCACAAGTAGATAGACAGCTCACTGGAATGGATGAGAAAGCCCAAAAAGACACTCAAATTTATAGAAATTTAGTACACGACAGAGACTCTTCAAATCTGTGGAGCAACAGGTAAAGTATTTAGAAAATGGGTACCCATCTGGAAAAAAAATTTAGATCCCCACTTCACATCTTATACCAGAGTAAGTTACAGATTGAATAATATTTAAATGCTAAAAAAGAAAATCAAAGGGTACTAGAACAGATCTTGGGAAATTTAAAAAAATATATTCTAAGAGTGGGTGGAGCCATTTTTAAGTATGACACCAAACCCAGAAGACATAAAAGAGAATATTAATCAATTTGATGACAAAACCTCCAAATTTATACATGGTAATAATTACTAAACCAAAGCAAAAAAAAAGACAAACTAGAAAACATATCCGGTACTCAATGGACAAAGAATAATTTCCTTAATATACACAGGGTTTTTATTCTAGGCACTGGGGATACAGCAGTGAAAGAATGTTGCTGGCTTAGATGGAAGAGAACTCTTCTATGTTGGAAGGCTGGCTGAAAATGAGGGGTCAGGGAGAAGAGCTGGGAAGGAAAGGGATGTTTTCTGGCAGCAGGGGGAAAAGGTAGGGATTTCTGCAGCAAGGCTGATAGACTCCAGCTAGCCTCGGGTGGGAGGGTTACAGAGTGAGGCGGAACAGAAGCTGAGGAGTGTGGAGAGGAGACGGAAAGAATTATTCTGGGAATAGGAAGCTGGATGGAGAGTAAAATTGACTGCTTTTTTTCCTCACTCTTCCTTGTTTTTCTTTTTCTTTTTACCTCTTCTATGGGAAGTGACCTCCCTTTCATTTTCTTTCTTTTTCTTGTCCAAACTTCATTCTCTCCATCTATCCTGTTACTTTCTTTCTCCATCTATGCTTCTCCTTCTCTCTCCTTCCTGTCCTTAAATGATCATAATACAGGACCCAGCACACCTGAAAATTAATCTTCTATCTACTGAATCAGATTTCACTTCTCTAGTCTCAATTTCAAAAGCACTTAAATTCAGTTCTTTATATTTCATTTGCTTGAAAAAAGATTAAGACTTTTTTAATTGAATATGGCCATTAATTACTTTTCTATAGATTAATAAAATTAATTAATAATAGGGTTCTTACTACCGCTCTAAAGGATTGTAAAAATATTCAGAGTTGGAAAAATGGTACCAAAAGAATATGTATTTAAAAGCTTCTTTAAAAAATTCCTCTAATGAAATCCGGGGTGGAAAGCAGGAGTGTGCTGTCACAGTATAGGGAGAGCAACAAGGGTCACGTAACAATGTATGTATAAATTTTTGTATGAGAAACTAACTTGAATTATAAACTTTCACTTAAAGCACACACACACACACAGAAGATTCCTCTAATGATCTGCTTAGCAAATTTACGTTATCCAAGTAAACTTGAAAAGAGAGGGAAAAAAAACTAATTAAGGACCATCTTTTAAAAAACCTGTTTCAAATCCAAGTAGTATAATTGTACATTTAAACATTGTTTAGAAAGACTGAGTTTTCACTTTTGGTTTAGAGTGACTCCCGGAGAAACACGTATCAGCTAAAAGTCTTCACAAAATAACTTTCTAAGTATCAATGAACCTTAATTACTAACTTTAAAGCTAATATATAATTCTCCACAATTCAACAGCGTCAAAGAGGATCAGAAAAGAAAATGTTCAGAGCTACAATGAATGCCGTATGTTAATTTTGTAAGATACACTAACCCTAAAGTTGCAAAGGATATAGAACTCAAGTATTACATATGTATCTATTATGGTCACATTTTATTGTACTAAGGAATATAAACTGCCTTAAGAGTGAGCCTCTTTTCAAAATTACAATAGTTTTCTTTAAAGAGTAGGATTTGTATACCCAGTCACAAACTAGATGTTAAAGAACTAGGCAGGAAGACCTCTCTGGTCCTTAGCTACACAGAAGGTAAATAAGCACAGATTCATGTGTTTGAATTCCTAGGCCTTTCATAAATAAACTCCGACATGCTTACATCTACGGAAATTATAAGGTACATTCTGAGGGAATTCAAACACTGAGACACGAGACCACAAAGTGAAGCGAAGCAGCTCTGCCCACAGAATCTGAACTGTGAATGAGGTACCTGTGATATCTGTGTGTGGGCACAACTTGGGGCAGCTTACTAAATAATAAAATGCTGTCGACATTTTCTAAAGTTACTAAATAAAGAATTTTCTTTCTTTACAGCAGACATGCTTCATTTCAAACTGAAGGCTATTATGCAAGATACCCTGTGTACCAAAATGCTAGGCAGAGAAACTTCTATTCAATAAATATCTTTAAAAATTTTTAAATGATTATTATATAATAAATCAGAGAAAAAAATTTAAAAAGTAATCAAATAAGTGAATATAGACTTAAGAGATAACAAATCTTTTGATCACCAAAACTATGGGCTAACTATACTCTATAATTTGAGGAAAAACAGTTGTTTCTATCATTACAGATTTCCTTGCAAAATAAAATCTCATTAGTGCACATAAAAAGCTCCCAGAAAGCTTTGTTGCAAATTCACTGCCTGTTCCAGAGGTTTCTTTCTCAAGACAAGGAGACATATTAGTTAGAGCCCAGGCCTTGGGGAGGTCCCTCAGCTCCACTCAGTTCTACGGTGATCTCATCAATCCTCAGTCAGAGCAAGACAGTTAATTGCCAGTCGAGTTGGCTCTGACTCGTGGTGACCTTATGAATAACAGAAGGAAACACTGCCCCGTCCTGTACCATCTTCACGGATGTTTCAGTCTATTACTGTGGCCATTGTGTCAGTCCATCTCATTGAGGGTTTCTCTTGTTTCGTTGGCCCTCCACTTTACCAAACACGACTGGTCTCTTCCAACAACGTGTCCAAAGTAGAGAGTAGATGTCTCGCCATCCTCGCTCCTAAGGAACATTCTGGTTGTATTTTTCTAAGACTGATTTGTTCATCCTTTTAGTAGTCCACAGTATATTCAATATTCTTCACCAACACCACAGTTCAAACACAGCTCTTCCCCAGTCATAATTTGAGTGTCTTCCAACCTCGAGGGCTCACCTTCCAGCACTATCGCAGACAATACTCTTTTGCAATCCATAAGGTTTTCACTGGCTATTTCTCAGAAGTCGATTGCCAGGACTTTCTTCCTAATCCACCTTAGTCTGACTAAGACTACTGCGGAAGGCACAAAAAAAGGCACTGATGGCTAATACCCCGCGTGCTCTCATAACTGCTGAACCAGTGATGCCACCCTTTGATGACAATGCTCCTTCAAAGGTGACCTCAAGGGACAGGTGTTGTCTCTGCTCTCGCTTCACATCATGAATCTTTCTCTGGACGAAACCCTAGGGGTCATCGGGTACAACCCCGTCACTGTGCAAACAAAGACCGTGGGACTCAGAGAAGGTCAGTGGTTCACAGGGTCACTTGTCTGGCAAGCAGCAGAGCTCAGGACTCCAAACGCCTCTCCAATTATCTGCTCTTCTTCACTCACCACAGATGTCTCCAGTTCTGCCCAAATGCTCAACTTGGGCTTTCTTCTTTTCCTGTCTTCCATGAAAACTGTTAACTTCTACTCGTCCAAAACAAATTGTTTTATTAGCTCGCTTGAATCCTCTCCCTTTCTCTCATTCCCCTTCTTCCCACGGATCACTTTCCTCCCTCTGCCCCAGGCTCTGCGTGATACCACTGTCATCAAGTCAATTCAGACTCACAGCGACCCTACAGGACAGAGCAGAACTGCCCCACTGGGTTTCCTAGGCTGTACATCTTTACAGAAGCAAACTCCCACATCTTTCTCACGCAGAGAGGCTGGTAGATTCCAATCACCCACCTTCCAGTTAGCAGCTGAGCACTTAACCACTGAGCCACTAGGCTTCGCCTCATGATAGGGTAAGTAACAGGAATTATATTTCACAAAAGAGTTCCTAATCAGTGGAGGCTTTCAAAATGTCCATATATTTAATTTTAAAATGCTACATTTTGTTCTTGTTTTAATAGAGGGGAACATGGCATAGTCTTAGAAAACTTTTGTAAACTAGAAACAGTTAATGACAATAAATACTTTCATTTATAAGCATTATATTCTCTCTTCCTTAATCTTTAAGAATGCAATTACTAGTGGCATATTTCTACAGAAATATCCTTAGAGGAAAGAAATGGTTAATGCATGCTTGGGTGAAATAAACTTCCAGGTAAATAATTTTTATTGCACACATTAACTTCATTGAATAAAGTTTCTTTCTTTTGTTTTTCTTAGAAGAAGAATAAGAAATTAAATGTTTTCTATTTTAGTTTAAGCAAAATCTTTATAATGTCTCACCTCTAGTTCCTCAGCCTGTTCTGTGTTATCTTCTTCAGAGCCACTGGTTTTAGGTAAATACGTCATTTTTAATCTCAGATAACCTTTAACTCTTGATTTTTGACTACAGAAAAGAAAACAATTATTCATAAGATTTAACACTGGGAAGAAAAGCATTCGTTTAATAAGAATTTATGAACATGTACTAGCTTCGAGGGCAGATTCAAAGACAAGCGCCAGGGTGGAAAGCATTTAGCAGAAGGAAAAAACCGTAGAGAAAAAAGAAACATAAATAATTGTTATGACATGAACAAGATGCTAAGGAAGTTTAAATTAAAGACCAGAGAGAACTTCCAAGAGAAGCTGCCATTGAAGTGGAGGCTCAAAGAATGGGCAGGAGTTTCATCGGTGGCCGTGGAAGGAAGGGCACCTGAGGGGAGAGAAGAGCAGGAACAAAGGACGGGATGGGACAGCTGGGTGCGGACGGGGGAAAACAGCAGTCACTGAGTTTGGCTGGAGCATAAAACACAGAAAGAGGAGTGTAGGAGGTAGGACCGTCCAGATGATTAGTGAGCTCCATTGTGTACACTGGGAAGCCGCCGGGAATGTTTAGGGTAGGGAAAGGTGAGCTCCTTTGCGTACACTGGGAAGCCGCCGGGAA